AATCAAACAGATTAAATTGTATTACGGCAATTAAAGTGCAAATTAGTTGTGAAAATGATCAGTAAGGATGTATGCCGATGGCAGGAAGAAATGGTAGGAGGTCATTCTCATTATTCTTTAAGCCTCTGTACTTGTGAGCATGTTTTAATTTTGTTATAATAAAATAATGAATGATAAAAATAAAAGAATGCAAATATATATAAAGAAGAAAACATTAAAGTAGAGCCAGCTCAAAGTGCTCAGATACACACTGCTGAGTAAACAGCAGCCACCCTACAGCCTTGTCTGCTGCTGTTACAGAATCCTTTTCCCCTGAGTGGTGCCTGTCTGCTCCCTGAAGACACCTGAACTTCACCAAATAATGTCCTGCCTGCCCGGTGTCCAGGCAAGAGCGCAGTGGGCACAGTTGCGGGGGGTTGTCATGAATGAGCTTTAAGATGCTTTCCAAATCTAAGATTCCAGTTCTCCTCTACTGCCTACTGCAGACCTGTCCTTGGGCCCCGGACATTACAGATCAATGTCAAGACAAATGAAATAACAGGCTTTTTATAAACAATGTCGCTGCATAAGACGAGCCTAGATTTTAATTCTATTACATAAATTCCATTAAGGCCATCCTCTAGGGAAGGAAGTTATGGTGACGATGGTTAAAGATGAACAATATTTTTAAAGACAGGTCAAAGAGATATAAATTTTTAAAATTAAAATCACGGACATCTTAACTTTGCCCATCTTTATAAGCATTCACCATAGATCTTCCCTTGAATTGCTTCTTTTAGTTCCTAATAACTCTAGAGCCCTTTTGGACAAACTTTGTTCTGAAAAAATGCGTTAGTTCAGTTGGGTGGGCATGTTTCAACAGTTGACAAACACGTACACAAACACCATGGCAACTTTTCACTCCAGAATATGCTGTTATTGTCCAAAGACGCAGCTTAACCTTGTGTTATGAAAGGAGGTATTTGGGTTTTGAATCCATTGCTTGCATTCATGTATAATTCATGTCTGTCTGCCAGCTTTTCTAGAGTTGCAGAGGATAGAGGTGGGGATGGAGGATTTGAAAGTCAATCTAAATATTTAAAGGGAATTGTATAATGGAGAAGGGGGGAAGAGGGCTAAACAAAATAAAATTTTCACGACTGGCTGGCACCGTGTGCGCTCTCTTTAGAAATTCAAAGGACAACTTGCAGAAGCACACCTGTCACCCTTTCTGTGGGTGATGGAGTGAAGGTAACCCCGCAGGCGCACGGTCTGGCCTACAACAGGTGTTTTCATATTACTTAACAACTTAAGAGACGGTGATGCTCAGCTTAGTAAGTTTCTAGGATGCAGCTGCCCTAAGGCAATAGATGTTCTTTATAATTTTAAAAATACGACAGCTCATGAATAAACAATGAGTCTAAAGCAAAACTCCTCAGGCTAGAGATCCGATTCAGAGCCAGCCACTCCCCCAACCTTTCCAGAAGCATATTCAAAACACGCTAATCCCTCCAACATTCAGCCTTTCAGTCAGGAGCTTGAACTTCTGTCTTTTGTTGTTTTTATAAGCAAGTCAACTATAAAATCCCAGGAAGAGTGAAACCGGGGGTCCTTAAGGCTTTGATTTAAAATTTTTGCTTTAGCCCTAGCTGGTTTGGCTCAGTGGGTAGAGCATTGGCCTGTGGACTGAAGGATCCTGAGTTGATTCTGGTTGGTCAAAGGGACATGCCCGGGTTGTGGGCTCGATCCCCAGTAGCGGGTGTGCAGGAGGCAGCCAATCAATGATTCTTTCTCGTCATTGATATTTCTATCTCTCTCTCCCTCTCCCATCCTCTCTGAAATCAATAAAAATATATATTTTTAAAAATTTTGCTTTAAATCCTAGCTCTAGCAATCCTGTCTCTGTCTGTACTCCTCAGAGACCTAGCCTTTCCCCCAATAACCAGCAACCACCGAGGCAGCAGAAGACAGCACCAGACCTGACTAATGTCCCAGGTCAGGCCCTCCGCAGGCTAATGATCACATCTTCACCTGAGTTCCGTTCCATTTCCTGAGCCCTCAGGTGGAATGACCCTCTGGCTACTTTCCCACAAAACCAGACAGAGGGACCCGGGAGTAGACCTCAGAGTGACTTCAAACCTGCAGAAATGACTCATCACTCCTTCACCTTCCACGATCAGCTCCTAGCACCCCCAGGACCCCTAACCCTGGTGTCTGGTGACTTTGCCTACAGAATCCATCCCCTACGCACCATCGGAGCTCGGGCTTTGGCGCATCAGCTTCCTGCTCTCCTGGGTGGTGTTGTTCATGATAAAATGACCAAGGTTGCCTGGCTGGCATGGCTCAGTGGTTGAGCGTCAACCTATGAACATGGAGGTCATGGTTCAATTCCTGGTTGAGGCACATGCCCGGGTTTCAGACTCGATCCCCAGTGTGGGGCGTGCAGGAGGCAGCCAATCAATGATTCTCTCTCATCATTGATGTTTCTGTCTCTCTGTCTCCCTCGCCCATCCTCTCTGAAACTAATAAAAATATATTTAAAAAAACCCAAACCAAAAAAAACGGCCAAGGTTTTTCCATGAGCTTCTCAGTGTCTCGTGTTTGGCTCCAAAGCCACCTATAACAAGAGGAGGGAAACAATTTCTGGGTGGCAAAGTAATAGCTGAGACAAAATAGGAATAAGTACATGTGGATTTTCCAGGCTCTTCCTTCATTCCCGTCGCTGGTTTCCAATGACGGGACCTGTAGCCAGCTGGCTCCATGTGTCTGGGCCTGGACAAGTCCTCCTGCTGGAACGCCTTGCCTTCCAGCCCTGGGATTCCACAAGGCCCCTGGGCCAGTCCTCACCCTCAGCTGAGAAGAACATCTGTTATGAAGCCTTGCCAAGTCTTTGACCAGAATTCCATCAGGGGCGAGCCTGGAACTCTACTGGGCGTCTCCACGAGAGACCTGCTCTTGGCAATAGGCAGCTACTTCTACCGTGTCCTCCCATGGGTAAGCAGAGACTCGCTAAGTCTCCCCAAAGACCTCTGCAGCCTTCTGAGTTTGCAACTAGTGATGCCTGGTAGAGCGTCTAAATAATTTGTTATTATTATTGTTTTAAAATATGTTTTTATTGATTTCAGAGAGAAAGGGAGAGGAAGAGAGAGATAGAAACATCAATGATGAGAGAGAATCATTGATCGGCTACCCCCTGCACACCCCACACTGGGAATCGAGCCTGCAACCTGGGCATGTGCCCTGACCAGGAAGCAAACCGTGACCTCCTGGTTCATGGGTTGACGCACAATCACTGAGCCAGCCAGGCTGCTACACATTTCTTAAGAAGCAGTAACAGGTTACCTGAAGTCTACCCTCCTGCTCAAGTGTACCTGTGGCTCAGAACCCTGAGGCCTCATGCTTTCTAGTCCAGGGAATCGAAGTGCCTTAAGGGTAAAGTCACTTCCCAACAGGATCTCCATCACAGGTGTCCAGAGCCACCTGCTCGGTGCCCAGCTCGCAAAAGCAGACTGCGAAAATCTCTAGGATGGGGTTAAATACAGCCATTATTATAAGTGAAATGATATCAACTTCTGATTAAATAAATTCCACTAAGGGCAAAGGTTCAAAGCTCATCCCTGCCTCCGTATTTTACTGTAGGTTAGTTCTCTCTGCTTTGAGGTTAGTTTTGCCCCCTTGTATCTATAAGATGGAAGTATGCTGCAGAACAGGGTTGGTAGGTTTAAAACCACCTCGTTGGGAATATTTACACCACAATAATAAGCAAATGCTACAGACCAGGGTTTTCTTTTTTCCCTCAGAAGATCCAGTTGTTAAACACTTACTAGCACACCACTGGTCTTTAACCAAAGCATAAGAGTTATAATTTAATGGACAAGGACGTGTTCTGAGACCATATTTCCGTTAGCACACCCTGCCCCTCCTGCCAGCACACCCAGAGTGGGGCTCTTAGTTTCTACTAGTTGACTGGTGAACATGCCAACTGTGGACGAAAGGGGCCACATGCTAACCTGACTAGTTCAGGGAAGGCCTGCATGGCGGTTGTGCAAACTTAAAGACCTAAAATAACCACAAAAGATGGTCTGAAAATTAAATATTTAACTACAAACAGGTTATAGTGGGTAGTCATGTCCTAAGCCAGTATTTTCCTTGACAAAGATGAACTTAGATCTTCACTGAGCCCATTGTCTTTTTGCATCTAAGATAACATATCTGTAAAATGTCTGAGTAACTTGTAACTTCCTCCCCCCACCCCTCAGGGCACAACAAATGGCACCAGGACATTCCTCATTGTTATTGTTATCAAGTTAATCGCCAACTGTTAGCTATCCTGTATCCATCTATGTAAAAGAAGCATGTGTCCATCATTCACTTTTTATCCAATCCCAGAGGTTTCCTTGCTTTGCTTTCTCCCACCTCCCTAATCTATCACCAATGAATTTCATGGAACCCAAACAAGGTATAAACCTCCCATTCTCTGGAGCATTATCTCAGTTCATTGAGGTTCCGGCATATGTCGACAGTTTGGCTCAAATGAACTCACAAAATTCTTTACAGGTCTGAATGTTTTTACATTAACATTTCTGAGAGCTTTGTGCCCCATCTCGTCCAATTGAATGTCCAAGGCTGGCAGCCTGAGAGGTCAGTACGACCAGGGAATGAGACCATCTGCACAATCAGGCTCTGAGAGATGGTGTGGTCTGTTTTTGCACCATTGCTTATTCAAAGCCCAGGTTGGCAAACACTTTTCAGCCTCTGAAACTTAAAAATTAAAAGTGTTTTTTTAAAATATATTTTTAATTGATTTTTTACAGAGAGGAAGGGAGAGGGATAGAGAGTTAGGAACATCGATGAGAGAGAAACATGGATCAGCTGCCTCCTGCACACTCCCTACCGGGTATGTGCCTGCAACCAAGGTACATGCCCTTGACCAGAATCGAACCTGGGACCCCTGAGTCTGCAGGCCAACGCTCTATCCACTGAGCTAAACCGGTTAGGGCAAAATTAAAAGTTGTGGGGTGTTTTTTTTTTGCAGAGGTCCAACGTATAAAGCAGAGGAGGTCAGTGACAGAGTGGGGAGAGTAGGGGGCAGAGGGAGGGGGAACAGCTTGCCTCCACTGGCTTCACATCTCCCTTCTCGCTCCCTTCCCCAGCAGGACCCGCAGGGGAATTCCTCAGCTACTGGGGTGCCTAGCTAGGAAACCCTTGTCACAAAGAGTGACAGCCAAGAGCAGATGCCTGTGGATGTGAAAGCACTCAGGGCAGCCTTGCTTCAACCCACAAAGGCAGTTTTCCCAGATACTGTTTACCCAGGCGACTGCTTTCACCTATAACCCGAGGCTCTCCACAGTGAGGGTCTGTTTCTAACAGAAAGAGGGATTCTGTTTCAGGACTCCTAGACCCAAGTGAGCAGCCTGGTTCCCACCGAGGTCCACTCTGACCCCAGGCACTGCTTCTTCCGGTGCAAGTGGGTGAGGGTGCACAAGAACCCGGGAGGGAACATGGGAGTGGTTACTCGTAAGAGTTGGCGATTTCTTGGTCAGTGGGTAGCTAGCACCTTGTGAGAAAAATGCCAGTCATCCCGGTGAGGTAAGATCGCAGATGAGCCTCCCCTTCCTTCCCTTGGGGCTTCTCGGAAATGATCCCGGACTCTCAGATGAGCTGGCGGGTCTGCAGTTGGAGAGAGGTTGACCACAGATCTGTCTGCCGAGGGGAAGTCATCACACATGCGTGTGGGCTGCTTCCAAACACTGGCGTGCCCATACTCCTGACAGTCCTCCTAGAAGACATACTTGGTTCATTTGTGGGCTCTGTGGGTTTTTGAGTTCTGTACAAGCCTCTAATTCTGTACCTTTAAAGCTATAAAAAGAGTCACAGTGCACACTGTCTTCATAATTAACACGTGTACAGAAACTCTTGACATATCTTTCCTCCAATTTTAATGCACTCCAGCATGTGGAGCTGACCACCGTTGAACATTTCACAGATGTGTTTATTTCCCTAGAATCGCCCTAGCTTCCTAGTGCCATGTCTGCGGGTGCTTCTCCGTTAGCAGTTTATGCCCTGCTGCTGCCTGAGATGGATCCAGCCTCTTCATGAGCATGTCACTATCCATGGAGGCTGGGTCCCCTCTCCCACAGAAACCTGATCACCCCTAATTCTTGTGCTCCCGTCTTACTGCCACTGGGCCAGCTCTTACTGGGACGAAGAATGGAATTGGCTGGGGTGAGTAGAGGCAGCAGGGTTGTAAAAAATCAGTCAAGTCCCACCCAACTTCCCCTTTATGAATTTAGAAAGAATCCTTCTGGTTTTATACATCAGTCTCTCATGAGCTGAGATAGTATGTGTCGCTTTACCCTGCCTGCTCACTTTAGATAAAAATCATCCTTTCTAGAGAATTCAGGGCTTCTTTGTGGAGGCAAACTCTGCATTCATTTCATTTTCTCTCCAGGTACAGAGTAGTATCTAAAAATGTAGACTTTGTGGGGAGTGGAAAACTCCATGTAGGCCGATAGTCCCAAGCTGAATTCTCTGTTGCAGTAGCACCAAAAATGCCTGAACTGAGCCACTGACCCAGGCGCTGGCCTGGCCACCCGCATCATGGGCTCATGTATCCTGAAGGCTCGTGTCCCTTGGGCTAGGCCTCCAGGTAGAGGGGGAAGTGTCCGAAATTGAGCCCTGAGCTCCTAGCTCCCTTCACGGACATATCCAATTCCAACTTAAACAGAAACTGAACCATGAAAACCATTTCACCCCTGAGGATAGGAACATGCAAACAACATGAATGAAAACAAAGAAAACCTGTTTGCCTCGTCTTCAACATCCAGGACTGTGTATTCCTTCTCTCATCACGAATGACATCTCTGCATAAGCATGTCCCCGGGAGGCTGCTCTGGTGACTCACAAGCCGCTCCCATCGAGGGAGCAGAGAGGTTACCTTCTGCCTCTGTGGCCTGCTGAATTGTGTCCTCCTAAACTCCTATGTTAAAGCCCTACTCTCCAATGTGCCTGTATTGGGGAATAGAACCCTTTAGGAAGGCAATTAAGGTTAAAGTGAGGTCATGAGGGTGGGGCTCTAATCTGATAGGATTGGTGTCCTTATAATAAGAAGAGACACCGGTCTCTCTCTCTCTCTCTCTCTCTCTCTCTCTCTCTCTCCTTCCCACTCCCTCCCTCCCTGACTCTCTCTTTCCCAGGAAGAGAGGCTTCGAAAGAAACCAAATCTATTGACATCTTGTTCTTGCACTATTACCCTCCAGAATTGAGGAAAATAAATGTCTGTTGTTTAAGACAGTGATTTTCAACCTTTTTCATCTCATGGCGCACATTAACTAATTACTAAAATTCTGTATCATGCCAAAAAATACATTATATTTTTCCCAATCTGACAAAAAATAAGTATAATTTTGATTCATTCACAGAGGAAGGCTATTGTTGTGTTGGCTGTTGTCATTTTTTATTTGACAATCTAAGGGAAAAGAGGTCAGTGTCTCTGACTAGTCAGGTCGTGCATGCTTTAACAATGCTTGTGGCACACTGGTTGAAAATCTCTATTTTAAGACATTCAGTCAGTGGTATTTTGCTATGGCAGCTCTAGCCGACTAATATAGCCTCTTAAAATATATCTGAATGGATTTTGTATTTTGGCCAGTTTAAGAATTCCTTAAAGGGGTATCAAGCATATTTATATTAAATTCCTTTTGGCACTGTTCCTTTCAATACTTTCCTCACAGTTGTCTTCTCCTGACCTTCCTGTGTGACCTCGGTCTCATTTATTTTCTCTTTGCTGCTCTATACACATATTTGATATGAATCTAGCAATTAAGACAGTAGCGATGTCTTTAAGTCATTGGAATAGAAGTGATCATTGCACTTACTGGAATCTTTGATTTTCTGAGAAAGTGTAAAAGAAGAAAAATAAAAACAGAGGCCACAGGGCCCATTGTTGGACGCTATGTTTATTAGAGGATGGGGCCATAACAGGGGAACTGGGGGAGCCCAGAGGCCACAAAACCATACATGCAAAGGGGAGAGAGGCTTCCAAAAGGCAAGTCCAGTGACTGTCTCCAAGGCTTCAGGGGGCCAGGCAAGATTTACTTAAGAAAAAATCATTGGGTTTGGTAACTAAGACATCACTAGGAATCACTGAGAAGTATCTCTAGCTACATGGTAGAGGCAAAAGCCAAGATTAACTGAGTGCTGAAAAGTCACTGTAGCCAGACTAGACATTGAGCAGAAGAGGAGAACAAAAGGTTACAGCTTCAGGGGACAGCTGGTACGGTGCCATGGAAAGGACCAGGACATGGGTTTTAACGTTGGAGAGCAGACACATAAGGCAAAGTGGAGAAGGAGTCATTTATACAGCACAGCCTCCAGAGACAAATGATAAGAGCTTTGCAATACCACTGAAGAGTGGGCACTGTTCTCCCTCAATTCTAACTGGAAGGTAAGCACCAAGCATGGAATACTCAATAGGCTGGACTCCAGTAAGCCTCCCCTGCTGCTCTCAAGGGCTCATAGCACGAAGGCCAGAACAATCTCGGGGAAAATCAGTTATCAGCACAGAAGCGAATAGGAGCCCTAGTCCTAGCCCTGGCCCTAGCCCTGGCCCTAGCTAGGAGGAGTGGGAAGAGGAGAATAGGGTGTCAGGATGAGCTAAAAAGCTATAACCCACAACTCCAACAAAGCCACGTGGGATGCTTAAGTTTAGCTGGTTGCTTTTAAAACATTCACAAGAATTGCATCATTCTAAGAAACATTTTAAAATGTAAGATGACCTCAAATTCAAATGTCTTTCAAAATAGGAAACAAATAAACATAAGTTAGAATCCCACAAGTTCAATTTAATTGAAAATGTATTAAAATATCTTTAAAACTGAAAAAAAATGTAACATCCAAACAAGTAATTATCTTGGATGAGAGCTGCTGCCATCTGACATTTGAAGGAGAAAAGAGAAATGTGTATATCTTGGGGGGGGCTACATGACCAACCGCTTCATGGGTTTGTAGCTCATGATCCATTGACTCTGAAAAGATGCACTTTTGGCTCAATGAGTGTGTGTCTGAAGCAGCACATTTGTTACCCAAATGAAATCTCTGGCTCTAAATTATCTCAGTTAACTGGGTTGCTTAGTGGACCAAGTTTCTTTAGTGTTGTACATTGCCAACTCCAGAAATATTTGCATTAAGCAACTCAGTTAACATGGATCTTAACACTCTTCTTTAGAGGATATACATCTTTCAACTCCAGAAGCATTTAGAATTAAATACAGAAAGGTTGAGGAAAGTCAAAATCAAATCCGTACACAACAAGTAACTTAATATAGCCTTGTAATATTTGAAAGAATGTGGTCTATCAGTGTGATCTCTCTCTCTCTCTCTCTCTCTCTCTCTCTCTTTCTCTCTCTCTCTCTCTCTCTCTCTCTCTCTCTCTCACACACACACACACACACACTCTCTCTCTCTCTCTCTCTCACACACACACACACGCACATTATGCTCTTGATGAATAGTGCAGAACCTTCATTTTAATTTGAAACCTAACACATTTATTCACATATTTAGAAAACATAACAGAACAGAATGGCATGCAATTTCAGACACCAGCTGGGTGTCCTACAATTCAACTCAATTTTGACACTCAACCCCAAATAGCATCAGATCCTATAGATTAACGGCTCAGTCCCAAAGACCATCCCACTCCCTCCACTTCAGAAGCCAATTTCTAGTCCAAGTTGCCACCTGGGCTTCTGACATACTAGCTATAGATTATAGCTTCCAATGACCTCCTCCCAGGTTTGGATTAACAGCCACTAGAGCAGTTAGTTTGTGGAACTCAGAGAAACATTATACTTACTAGATCACTGGTGTATTATAAAAGGGAAGGCATGGGGAAGGAGTGAGGCATTTCCATGCAATCATCAAGCATATCATTCTTCCTATATCTCCACAGGTTCTCCAACCCAGAAGTTCTCCAAACTCATCCTTTTGGGTTTTTATGGAGGCCTCATTGCATAGACATGATTGATTAAATCACTGGCCATTTGTGATTGACCCAACCTCCAGCCCCTCTTCCCTCCCCCCGACCCCAGAGAAGTCAGAGGGTGGGACTTAAAGTTTCAACCTTCTAATCAAGAAGTTGGTTCTCCTGGCAACCAGCCCTCATCCTTAGGTGCTTTCAAAAGTCACCTCATTAACAATGCAAGACATCTTTATTCTCTCTTCACGTAGGAAATACCAAGGATTTTAGAAGCTCTCTGCCCAAAAGGAACAAAGACCGAATACATATTTGTTATTAAAAATCACAATTTTAAAAGTTCAGTTTAGGACTAAAGGTATCCCTAGAACCTCCAGATGATAGGAGCACTGAGCCCCAGCAAAGAGGAGGTGGTGGGAAGGAAATGCTTATGTTGACCTTCTCAGAAGTTGAGCAAGCTTTATTCTTGTCCTTTACTGTTCAGCATTCAGTCCCCTCCGTTCTCAACAGCCTCGTAAAATGCCAACCAGAATGAATTGCTTGGATCTCTTGAAATTAGCATTTCCAAATCTTCCTAATGTATCTCCAGCCATCTTTAGGGCACATTTAAACACAATTTGTCACTGCACTATCTACCAAGTCAGGGACACTGGCTACAATCATTCTTGACCTGAAAGAGGGAAACAAAGTGGTCCCAGAATGAGCATCTGCAGTCCTCCAATCAAGGTTCTCACTGCCAGCAAGTGACCATGTGACCTGGACCCTCAGCGTGTCTTGATTTCCTCAATTTTAAATATACATTCCTATATCTTCCTAGAGACCTTGGGTTCCGTGGCACAGAATAAAGGAGCCCCAGAGCACCTATGTGATGAAGCACCTATGTGATGAAGCAACCATAAAAATGTCAAAGTGTGTGAAGCCAGTTTTGAGTTGGGTTAGATTTATGTGCTGGTTTCCATGGGGTCAATTTCCAGTGGGGTCAGTGGGTTGGGTTTATATTTACAGGAATGAGGGATGATGCCAGACCTGTGCGCAGGAGAACCTGGTAAGTAACATCTATTTGTACTTCTTAGCATCTGCATTTGGAGATGCCTCTTTTCAAAGAGGGTGGTCAAGACTTGCCCCATTCTCTTATAGAGAAGCCCTGTTGGAAGCAGCCCATGCTGCATGGATCACAAGGCAGACCTCACTCTTCTTGGTCATAAAAGTAACATGACCCCAGCCTGACCAATCAGAGTAGCTCCTTTTTCTGGCCACAGTGGTCAGAAAGGGAATGTGACCACAGTTGGGCCAATCAAAGTCTTTTCTGAGTCCTGATATGTGAACCAAAGAGAGAGCCTGAGAGCCTGAAGGTGCCAATGGCCACCCTTCCTGCAAGCAGAGCCGCCTGAGGATGGTCCACACAGAGGAAAAGGCTGAGAGGCCCCGGTGGCATCTTGTGGACACTATGGATGGGTGAGTTTCTAGAGGAATTCCTTGCATTCCTTCTCATACTGAGAGGTATTGTTCATGGGAAACTTACAAGGAATGGTTTATTAATGGTGAACTTGCTAGAAACAGCTAACCAAAGTCTCCATATTCTCCCAGCTCCTCCTGAGTATGAATGAATCCATTTCAAAGTTACTCTGGGCAGCTATCTAAAACATACCTGTCCTCTGAGGCCAAGGCTTAACCGTGCAGTCAAGGCATTGATTCGCTAAAAGTCCTTCATCTCGTGTGCCTGAAAGACCAGGCCGGACCTGTGACTCTCTACACATCACCTTGCCACAGACCCAGCCCTTCAGTCCAGGAAGCACCAACTCAACTGTAAGGGAAAATGAACTTCCAGAATCTGCATGTACCTTGGCAGAAATCCATCTCCAGTCATATCCAAATGCTATCCAGATTAACCCTTGTGTCCCTTACTCCCAAGGGAAGGGTTTATTTCATGAGATAAGTTCTTTCAAGAAAAGTGAGACAAAGGGGATTTTATAGAGAGCAATTTTCATGATAGACAGAGAAAGGTACTATAA